CCTTCATCATCTGTGTAGCACCACGGCTCGCTTTGACCATATTTTGCACAGGCATGGTTACTACGGCAGTACTTTCCATTTTTAGCCTTACTCCTCCACAGCGGAGGGCTGCAGGGGCTTGTTTCCTCAGCGCTGGTCCTGCACCAGTAGTAGCCATGACCATATGTGGCACATGGGTGGTCCTCCTTGCACCGCTGTCCATCAGCTGTGATGAGTGAATACCGCGGTGAACACCTGACCAGCTCCTGGCCTGAGTAACACCTGTAGTCCTGCAGTTCGTCCTGGTACAGACAGGAAGAGGAGCAGCAGGGCTTATGTCCACCTTCATAGTAACACCGACACACGTTATCAGATTCAGATCTGTATAAGCAGGATGAACCATCAGCTGCAGTGTTCTGCTTCTCTGGCACCAACATACATTCAACCTCATCTGTCGACACATCTCCCTTTTTGAGCGGTTTGGCACGAGTTATAAGACAAGCACTTCCATGAAGAGTCTTGAGTTCTTCAACCCCAGTGAAGTACGAGCTCATACTGTTGAAGGCTAGTTTTACTGTCATCTCACTCACATCAAAGAGCTGACTGGTTGTCCTTTTCCTATTGATTGCTGGAATGATGACCCCTAGGTTGTTACATATGTTTTGTATTTTTGTGTTCATTTGGTTTTTACATACTTTCAGACTAATTAATTTCTGAAACTCACCCTGAACCTTGCTTAATTTATTATTGTTACCAAAACAATTATCAGCAAAAATCTGAATTGTCTGGTAACTGTTGAGTACACTGAGCTGAGAGTTCAGGTTTTCGACACTCATCAGGGTGATGTCTCCTTCAGGAAGATTTTCTCCCAGATAGCTGAAGGAAAAAGACTTTTCGTCATCTAACCGGTGTTTATAGCAGACAGCCGTCCAGATGTGAGAGGGCACCATCACCCTTTTTTTAGGTGCTTCGGTAACTTCTTGTTTTTGGGAAATTGGTATTGTAGTAGGTACCGTACCTGTGACAATGTAAGCGTCTGCTAAAAATATATCACTTTTAAGATTTTTTTAATAAAAAGCTTCTCAGCGTGCTCTCCCATTTCTTCCATTGTATTCTGTTGAAGCAAGCGTCCATCGGTGCAGCATTGGTCAGAGTGAACGTCGCCTTACGGCCTTCATTGCATTGGAAGCTGTTGGGGTATAGATGTCCGCGGTCATACCCAGTATCACTGTAGTCTTTGCTGATGGCCTGTTTCTCTTGAAAAGCATTTATAGTAGAATAACTCTCACGAACCATGTGATCAATTTGGTGTCCAGGTTGTGAAATCTAAAGGAGAAATGGACGGTTAGTTGATTAGACTGATGCTTTAATACTTTGCTTTTCTAAATCTTATTAGGGAGCTCAACTTTCAGTAAAGTCTAAAAGCCTATTCATACTCCTGCATCAAATACACAGTAAGTCCGGCAAAGCCTTCATACAGTAAATTTAAAATGACATAACTGAGCAAATGACACTTAATAACAGTTGTTATAAGCATGCATACAATCTCATTTACATTCATGTGTGATGTCTCATGAACACCTCTTCAAGTAAAGTGTTACAATAAAAACATGCACTTATTTGTATAATCTTTGTCTTTGCTCAAATAAATACATTTTATCAGTCACTTACCTGAGGCTCAAGGTGCCAGATGGATGCCACTTTATCAGATGTTGTGCAGTTTTTGTTCAGGGTGTATGCACTGTAGAGAGGGATCTTGTGATCATCAGAGTATAGTGTAGCATAATAAAAGCCTCCATTTTCCACCTTCTGACAGATTTTCTTGGCATTCTGATTCATCCAAGTTGGTTCTGTGCCTTTATAGAAAAACTTGCTACACTCCGGATTAAACTCTGTGACCACTTTAGCCTGGGTGCTGAATGCTCTCAGCAGAACACAGATGAGCAGACCCCGAGCAAACATGCTGTGCAGACGCTCAACAGCTTAACAGCTCTTACCAAGCAAACGATGACAGAATTGTCACTGACCAACTAAACAACATTAGAATTTGACTGAGAGTTAAAGATAAAAAGGCCACCCAGCACAAACTTGTCAAAGAGACGACACTGACAGACGTCTGAGCAGTGTTAAAATTTGTTTGAAAAGTAAAAGGTGAAACCCAGCAAACATTTGCATGTTCATTGACCCAGGGGCGGACTCTGATGATGTGCAATCACATTCAAACTTTGAACTCAAATATTTATTTATTTTTTTGTAAGTAAGCTGCAGGTTAAAAACACCTTTAAATGTAAACTATTACAATGCAAAAATTATGTTTCTAGTCCAAATATCAAAAAATGTATACATTAAGAAGCATATTCTAGACAAATTAAAATGTCGTCTTGTTGTCAGAAATAATGTTGTTTCTTAGGACAAGCAAAATAATCTGACAATGGGGGTAGTAAAATAATCTTGTCAAAAGCAAAAAAAAAAAAAGATTATTTTGTTTTTAATTTAAATGTTTTGAGATATTTTGGACTAAAAACATGATAAAAACTCTCAGTAAAAAGCCTTTTTACAGTGTATAGAACATGTAGTCTTGCTGGAGTCCACATTGCCAATAGCTGTAACAGACCAGCAGCTAACATCAGACTCATGATGACATTCAGAATCAGTGTTTATTGAATTTTTTTCTGAATCTTTTGTCAGGATATACGGTAGTCACAATCACAATATTATTAAATGCACTGCAACAGGTATAGCACAATACTTCATGTATTTATTTTTCTTATATAAATGTTAAACAAATGTTAAATAGTTATCAACTAATAAATCAAATATTAAATTAAACATTTACGACCTTGAACTTTGAGTTAAGCATTTGTAAATTAATATCAGCTAAATAAATGCTTCTAGTTTTCATGGTGAGCTTAGCTGTGTTATCTGATGTTTACAAATGGAGCCTTATTGTACAGGGTTAACAAGGAATATGGCATATAAACATGTCTTATGAATAGCCTGATATGATTGGCTGGTGATTCAGGCGGGGCATGGCAGGCTGATTGGCTGGTGATTCAGGTGTGGGCGTGGCCTTTTATGATTGGCTTTCATTTCCTCCACTTTAGACTCTTAGTGACACCTAGTGGCCGCATGACAACAGTGTGCATCAATCCACATAACTCCAGCTGATTCCGACTGAATGACTGATGTTCAGGATGTTCAGATGATCTTGGTCTCTTCACTCCGCTGATGGCAGATTCCGCATCACAACAACAGCCTGCAGAGATCAGGACAGACATCAGGCACAACCATGGGGAGGAACACAGTAGCAGAGTATAGTAAACACTGCAGTGTTCTTCCGCTAAACTGTAGTAAATCACCTGAGTTAATCAGTTGTGGTGACTACAGTTGCTATGGTAACACAACTACAATAGTAATATATTGATGTATATTTTCTACAGTCAGAGTGTATAATATCATACATTACACCACAGTTTACTGTAGTATTTATAACAATTGATCAGTTCACTATAGTTAACACT